CAGCAGGAAGCCCAGGACCAGCGGCAGCTCCCACGCGAGTCCTGGGACAGCTCAGGTGCGGCCCCACCTCGGCTGCAAGGACGTCGTCACACGCTGAGGCTGCCCTTGGCGGGCTCCTGCAGCTGTGCTGCGGGGGAGCTCAGCGTGAGCTCCGTCTGGGAGTCCCCCGTGGCAGGGGAGGTGGGTGGCTACCGCCCTCCTCCCTGACGCCCTGCCCTCCACACCTCCTGCCCCCCCACACCGGTGTCCCCCACTCTGCACCCACAAAGGGGACAATGAAGTCCTGACTCATGATTGGAGCTTCTAGAAGCCCCAGAGGCGGACACTGGGCTCAGGTGTCCTGAAGGGTCCAGGCTTCTGCTGACCTTGCCATCCCCCTCCGTTCTGGGAGTCAACCTCTCTGCCCACCCCAGACCCCCAGCATCAGCTGCGCCCTCAGCAGCGCCTCCCCCTGCAGCCTCCCCACGCACGCCCATGGCGGCGAAACCTGCCTACAAATGCTCCGTCTCGGGGTCTGCAGCCACGGCTCCCCACAGCCCTGCCACGGCCTGCAGGCAGGCGGTGCTGTACCGCCCATGTCAGCCTGGACACAGACAGTGGCCACGTGCACAAGAGCATCCGGGCGAGCCGGGCAGGCGGGGCATCCCCCCGGCCCATCACTCGGGCCTCTCTGGGTACGGAACTCTCCTCAAGGGCTGTTTCAGCCAGTGGCCAGCTCTGGGCCATCCAGGCAGCCTGCCCAGCCTGGGAGGAGGCAGACGGCCACCACAGTCCCCACAGTGCACAGGAGAGCATGGAGGCAGGCCTCACCTGGAGCCACACCCAGCTCCCAGCGCAGTGGTAGACCTGGAGCCAGTGCCAGATACAGAGCTAGAGCCAACACCAGCTTCACAGGAAGAGCCCACTGCGGCACCGGCTCTGGCACCAGCTCCAGAGCTAGGAATGGCTCCAGCAGTAGGTCTGGCACCAGCACCAGCTCCAGTATGAGCTCTAACAACCAATCCGGAGTTAGCGGCAGTTATGTCACAAACCCTGTGCCAGCTCCGGCAATAGTGCCAGCACCAGCTCGAGAGCCAGAACCAGCTTCAAACAGATTCCAGAATTAAAGCCAGGGCCAGGTCAACAAATGACCCAGCACCAGTTGCAGAGGAAGAGCCATTCCAGAACCAGTTGTAGCACCAGTTCACAGCTAGAGCCTGTGTGAGCTCCAGAACACACACCAGACACAAGAACTCTACCTCTGATGCCAAGGCAAGGAACAGCTCGCGGACCAGGATGCCCACAACTGCGGCGAGAGAGGCAGCTGTCTCCCCACCTCCGATCCCAGCTCCGGCGCCAGAGCTAGCACCGGTTCTAGAGCTCTGACCTGCTCTAACACCAATGCCAGAGATAGAGCCAGTGCAAGTTTGGGCTAGAACCAGCTCCAGAACCAGCTTTAGCAGCGCCTCCTGACCTAGAACCCGCTCCGTAGCTGGGCCGGCGCTGTGTGCACAGCAGAAGCCGACTCCAGCACCAGCCCGGCACCAGGGCCAGAGCGAGAGCCAGCCCCAGCGCCGGAGCCACAGCCGGAGTCAGCCTGGCCACCAGCCGCGGCGCTGGAGCCAGCCCCGCGCCACCTGCAGAGACGCGGCTGGTGCTCGCCCCAGACCAGACAGCCTTCCTGCCGCGCGCCTACGAGGACGTCCTTTCTGGTTTTCTCTGACTGGTTTTTTTTTTCTCTCTTCATACGCTTTATGATTACGTGTGTTTTACATTGTAAAATTCGCGTAAAATAAAGTATGCCTTTAAAAACCCTTTAAAGTGTACAATGTCGCGGCACCGACCACATTCGCCGTGCTGCGCACCGTCACCACCGTCTGGCTCCACGGCATCTGCATCGGCCAGATGGAAGCCTCATACCCATGAAACCGTCACTCCCCGCTCCCGGGCAGCCACTGACCTGCTGCCTGTATCTACCCACTTGACTATTCTAGATCTCTGATACACTTAGAATCATGAAATGCGTGGCCTTCTGCGTCAGGCTTTTTCACTTAGCATAATGTTTTCAGGTTCAGCTACAGTGGAGCAGGTGTCCTTACCCCATTCCTTCTTATGGCCAAATAATATTCCAAGGCACAGACACGCCGCGTTCTGTTCACCCATTCACCTGTTGACGGACCCTTGGCTTGTTACAACCTTTCGGATATCGTGACTAGTGCTGCTACAAATATTTATGCACAGGTGTTTGCTTAGATACGTGTGTTCAATTCTTTCTGCTATGCGCCTAGGGGTGGAATTGCGGAGTCATTCATAACGCTAGGCTTAAAGTCCTGAGGAACCGCCAAACCATCTCCCGTGGCGATTCTGCCCCGTCGCCGCAATGTATGTGGCTTCCAGTTCCTCATCTTCCTTCCTGACAGTTGTTATTTCTTGTTTGTTAAATTACAGCCATCCTAGTGGGTGTGGAGTTGCACTCATTGTGGTTTTGATTTGCATCCCCTGACTCCTAATGTTGAGCTTCTTTTCATGTGCTTATTGGCCATTTGTACGTCTTTAGAGACGTGTCTATCAAGCGCTTTGCCCACTTTTATTTGCATTGTTTGTGTTTTTGTTGCTGAGTTATAGGAGCGCTTCATACGTCCTGGGTACAAGACCTTGATCAGATTTATGATTTGCAATTATTTTCCACCATATTGTGGGTTCTCTTTTCACTCCGGGGAGTGTGCTTTCATGCAAAAAAGGTTTTCAATTAATTTTGATGAAGTCTAAGTTATCTTTTTTCTTTGTGTTGCTTGTGCTTTTGGTGTTATATTTTAAAAAACCATTGCGGCCAGGCGCAGTAGCTCACACCTGTAATCCCAGCACTTTGGCAAGCCAAATGCCGGAGGATCACTTGAGTCTGGGGGTTTGAGACTAGCCTGGGCAACGTAGTGAGACCCTATTTCTACAAAACATTTAAAAATTAGCCAGGTGTGGTGGTGTGCCCCTGGAGTCCTAGCTACTTGGGAGGCTGAGGCAAAAGAGCCCAGGAGTTCACGGCTGCAGTGAGCTATGATTGTGCCACTGCACGCCAGCCCGGGTGACAGAGCAAGAACTTCTCTCCAGAAAAAAAAAAAAAAAAAAAAAAGCCAAATCAAAGGACATGAAGATGATTTGGATTTCCCCCTGTGTTTTCTTCTTTTCTTTCTCAAATTTAGGTCTTAGATTCACTTTGAGTCAGTATCGTGTAGGGTGTGGGGCGAGCTTGCCTGTGGGTGTCCACTTCTCCCACCACCATTTGTCCAAGAGCCTTTTCCCCTGCTTGAATGATCCCAGTACCCAGGTTCGTAATCGATTGACAGTCACCCACGGGCTTGTTTCTCCCGTCCCGGCTATATTCCATTGCTCCGCGGGTCTTAATCATCTCTGCTGAAACTTTGCTGAAGCTCTTTATCAGCTCTAGCAGGGTTTTTTTATTTTTTTAATTCCATAGGATGCTCTGCATGTAAGTTCATGGCATCAATAAAGAGACACTTTCACTTCTTCCTTTCCAATTTTGGCGCCTTTATTGCTTCATCTAACCGAATCTCTCTGGCCTCACTTGCATTACGCTGTCGAAAGGAAGTGGGGAGAGTCCTTGTCTTGTTCCCTGTGCTTGTCTTGTCCCGCTGCTGTGGAAGTTCCCGCCTACTTCTCCGGTGCTGAGGGCTCTGACTAGGAAGGGCTGAGCGTCTCCTGCGTTCCGGAGACACCGCACTTCACTGCCATGCACAGTCCTCTCACCCTGCTGCTCCATTCTGGTTGTTGGCATTTCGTTGAGGAATTTTACATCGATATCCATAATGGAGTGTGGCATGCAATCTTCTTTCCTTCTGAGGTTTTTTTCCTGTCTTTGAAACGACCCAGTTCAGAGTCTGTCATTGGCCTCGTGAGTGAAGAAACGTTCCCGCCTCTTGTATTTCTTTATTTTCGAAGCGCTTCAGAGGCTCGGTGTTACATCTCCTCCGTGCTTGGGAGATTCACCGGTGAAGTCGTGGGGCTCTGCACTTGTGTCGCCAGGCTCTGGATGACTGACCCTACGCTCTCCCCTCTTTCTTGAGTCGGCGCGACTTTGTCGTGCGCTTCTGGGAAACTGTTCGTTCCATCTAGGCCATCCAACTGGCTGGCATACACCGCGCACGGTGTCCTGCTGTCATTCCTTTTTCTTTTTTCTGAAGTCTCATTAGTGACATCCCATTGTCATTTCTGGTTTTAGCAATTTCGGTCTTCCCTTTTTCTCAGTGAGTCTAGGGAAAGGCTCGCCAATTTTGTAACTCTTTAAAGGAAGGAGCGTTGGTTTCATTGACTCCGATGCTTCCGTTCCGCATTCCGAGCCTCTGCCCGGTCTCTGCTCTCCCTCCCCTGCCAGCTGGAGGCTTGCCTGGCTCTTCTTTCTCCAGCTCACCCAGACTGTCGCCTCACCAGCCCCTGGCAGTGCAACCGGCGGCTGAAGCCTACAGACTGGAGGAAACCAGGCCAGCAGGGCACCTTCCACCCACCTGACAGCTGAGGCCACCCCAGCCCGTGTCACCTGAACCTCTCCTGCCACTGGGCCACTCGCTGCCATAGGTGCCTTCTGTGCTCTGGGAGCCAGAGGACTAGCTGACTTTACCCAGGAGCTCTGCCCACCAAGGGCACTGCGGACACTTCCCTCACACCTTCCCAGGTGCTAGCCACTGCCGTCCCCGCCCATGGGCACCCCTGAGCTCCCACTCACCCAGCGGCCTGAGCACTGCGAGCCTGGCCCTGCCCTCTGGCTTCCGGGCCCCCGACATGGAGCCCAGCACCAGTGGCAGCTCACACTGCTGGGACCAGCTCTGGTGTGGCCCCTCCCTGGGGGGGGACATTGATGACATGCTCAGTGTGCACTCGGACAGCTCTTCCAGCTCCGACGTGGAGGAGATCAACATGAGCTCTGTCCTGGAGTCTGCCCATGGCCAGGAAAAGAAGGTGACTGCCGCCCTTCCCCCCACACCCTCCCCCACCCCTCCACCCCCGGTGCCAGCTCCCCGCTCTGCACACAGGGGCCAAGAAGCCCCAGTCCTGAGAAGCCTCTGAAGCAGTCACTGTCCCGGGTGCCCTGCACGGTGCAGGACTTCTGTTGATCTCGACGTTCCACATCCTTGCTGTCCCCGCTGAATCTCCTGCACCAGCTCCGCCTCCAGCAGCACCTCCTCCTGCGCCCGCCGGCTCCTCACAACGGAGGCACAGCCAGCAGGTGGACACACAGCCAGCAGGTGGACGCACAGCCAGCAGGTGGGCGACGCTGCCTCGTCTGAGTCACCTGGACCAGGAAACCGGCAACATGCATGCGTGAGCACCCTGCTGAGCTGGCGGGCGGGGCGTTCCCTTGGTGGCCCCACTCACACCTCTCTGGGTACAGACCTCACCAGAAGGGCTACTCTGACAGGTGGCCAGCTGTGGGCTGTCCAGCAGCCTGCCCAGCCTGGGAGAGGCAGACGGTGCCACAGCCCCCGCTGTACACAGGAGGGGACTGGGGCAGGCTCCTCCCTGGCTGCTGCTCTGATGAGATCACCTGGATTCAGTACCCTCCCCCTCCAGGGCCCCCAGCTGCTTGCCCAGCATTCAGACCCTGTGTGATCTTGTCCTCCACACCCCACTCCAGCCTCCTCTAGCTGTCCTTACCCCGGCACCCCACCAAGCCTTTGTCCCCCCAGGACCCCCGCCACAGTGCCCCTCCCCACACCCCTCCACGACAGACTCACCTTCAGGGCTGGGCTCAGAGGCCAGCTCCTCAGGGCCCCTGTGCAAGAGCACAGCCTTTGGGGTCAGTTCGCCTGGGTTCAAACCCACAGCTGGGCCACGTCACAGCCCCGTGACAGGCAAGCTCACGCAGTGACTTCTCAGAGCCTGAAAATGGGGTCCGTGACTGGGACCCTGTGAGGGTGTGCTGGGGGCAGAGCTGCAGAGGAAGGCGCCCCAAGTGCTGGACTCGGGGGTCCCCGGGCTGGGGAGGCCCCAAGACAGGAGGAGGCCTCTGATGACCAGCGCCAGGATGTGTGACGGGAAGAGCAGAGATGCTGGGGACCCACCCACGGTGGGGGGGCCTGGTCACTTGGAGCCCTGTGGCCTGGGGCGTGGCGCCTCTGCTCAGGCATCAAATGGGGCGAAATCCCTGGGGGCAAGGGCTCCCTAACAACAGTGACCGCCCAACCCTGGCTCAGCCCTGTTGTGGGGCCCCGGCTCCCTGCGGCCCCTCCTACACCAGCGAGGGGGGGGCAGCCAGGGACAGGCCGGACCTTGTGGAAGACAAGGAGGGGGCTGGGGAGGAGGAGGGGAGGGCGGCCTGACCTCCCCACCCAGGCTCGAGTCTGCGTCTGCCGTCGCTTCCCGCCCCCTGATCCCAGGGTCCTCAGAGTGGGGAGCAGGAACAGGGCATACTAGGAACGGCCACGCGTGGAGCCGTTGGTGCGGGCGCGGGCACGCGGCGAGGCGGGTCACGTGCATGCGCGCGGTCCCGCGAAGGCCCCGTGCGCGCGCCAGGCATGGATGGCGCCCGCTTCCCCGCGCGGACTCCCACGCATGCGCACGCGGGAAGGAGACCAGTGCAGGGAGGGGACCTGAGACCATCGGTAAACTGAGACCATCGGGCGACAAGGTGGGCAGAGTCCAGAGAAAGGAGGGTTCGAGGCTCCTAGGCCAGAGCTGGCCCTCCCGTGGGGTTTGCTTTGGGAATGAGACCCCTAAGGTCCTGGGGAACCCCTGCCCACCATCTCTCATGGGGGGCTCTTTGAACATCCCCACGCAGGCACGGGCGCACACACACCACACGCTTCCTAGCGACCAGAGGAGGACTGGACAGAGGGGAGGTGACAAGGGAGAAAGAAGAGAGAGGCTGGAGACAGCTCTGCCACAACCCGGGCATCCCAGTCTCCTAGCAACCTGCCGGGGCCCACAGCTGGGAGGGGGAGACATCCAGGCTGCTGGGCAGGGGAGCCCCAAGGTTCCCAGGGTCTGCCTGGGCCGGGGCCAACCCCAGGGCACCCTCCAGAGGACAGGGTGGGGGTCCTGCGTCCAGCACTCCGGCACCTGGACCTAGGATGAGCTTCCCTCCTTAGCACGGAGGGAGCTGAAGGGGAGAAGGCCTCAGTTTCCTCCTCTGCAAATTGGGGTGCTCGGCCTTGCTGACCCCAAGGCCCTCCAGGCTCATGGACGTGTGCATTGGCCTGATTCTCCATCGATGAATCACTGCCCACTGAGGTCCTTGGAAAAGACTTTCTCCTCCCTGGCTTCTGAGCAGAGAGCAGCCTGGGGTTTGGGGGACTGAGGACCTGGGGTGGCGCAGAGCCTGGCAGAGCACTGAACCCCTCCTCCCTCCCTGTCCTCCCTTGTCACCTTTCCTCCTTCTGGTTTCATGTTGTAATAAAAGAAGATTGTTGGTGAAAAAAAAGGGGGGGGGTCCCTGGGTTCCAGGGCCATGTCCTTGTTGGAGCCTCGGGGTCCTCATTTGTAGCGGGGCGGCAGTCACTGCCCTGTTTGGGGTGAGGAGTCCTCATGGGTGAACTGGACACCCCAGGGCCATCAGAGGGAAAGAGGGGAGCAAGGGAGGCTTCTGACATTCCTTCTGTCACCCCTGGGGCCAGCAGGTCCTGCTGCTTTGCCAGCGGGAGCCCCACTGCCCTGAGGACCCCCCACAGGTGTGTGTTTTTTCTGTTTCCCGCCTGGGGCTGGAGTGCTAGCTCTGGCCACCAGGGGCGCCAGTGCCCGCTGTGCTCCGTGGAGCGGCTGGAGCCTGGGGGAGCCCCGGTCGGGTCGCTGTGGGGTCCCCTGCCTCCAGCCAGCGAGCACCTCCCTTGCTAGCGTCCGTGTGCACTGCGTGAGCTGCTCTGGGTGGGGAGGGGCTCCGACGTCCTCTCATCTTCCCATTCAGCGCATGTGCCCGCACGCGCCCTGCACGCACCCTCAGGGAGGTTAGAGCTGGCGCGGTGGGTGCTGCGGGGGTCCGTGACACCTTGGTGGGGCGAGCCTGGGAAAGGCTTCCCCAGGGGAATGGGCTGCCTGGGGCGGGGTGGTTCGGGGTGTGATTTTTCTCTCCCCCAGGAAGAGGCTCTGGGCCTCAAGCCTCACTGTGCATGCCCCCCACCACCACCACTGGGCTGTTTTACATTTGTAAAGAAGGTTCCAGATTCCATCTGAGGGTCCTGTCCGGTCCTGGGAGTAACCAGAACAGGACCCCCTGGGGCGGTCGATTGGGGGGGGGCAGGCCCACACAGATACCTGGGATGGAGCTGGTTGGGGCCCATGCATTCAACAGACATATGAAGCACCTACTGTGTGCAGGCACTTGGCTAATTCAGGGAACAGACAAAAATGCCCACCCTCCTGGCTTCCGTCCAGAGTGGGCTGGGCAGGGCCCACTAGACACCTGGCAGGCAGTGGCCCTGGGTGTGCCGCCGCCCTCTGGCCTCTCCAGGTGTGGGTTCTTCCAGCCCATGAGGCCCACAAGCAGCTAAAGAGGAGAGTGGGCTTTGGGTCAGGAGGGTGCTCCTGTCTCCGTGGAGGGGCATCTGGGGCTGGCAGAGCCCGCAGGTCTCCGTGGTTCCCGCCAAAGGGCTCAGATCTGGGGCTTCGCCGGCAGGAGGAAAGGAAGCAGAGCACTGGAGACCCCGGCCCAGCCAGCCCCCATGAGGGTCCCTTCCCAGCCAGGCCCGCCCATCCCTGTGCCCTGTGGGGCCGGCAGGAGGTGCGGTGAGCAGCCCGCTCGCCCATGGGCCCGACCCGAAGTCCTGAGTGCCCAGCAGCACACGGGCGAGGCTGGCCTCTGGGGACGCCAGGTGAGCTAGGAGGACCAGGGCAGGGGAGGCCAGGCCTCCGACGATACCACCACCGGTCTGCCCCCAGCACCACCTCCTCCCTCCTGGACTCCTGGCCGGACCAGTGTCTGGGGATTTCTGACAGCCCCAGACCTCCCCATTCATTCATTCATTCACTCATTTGTTCACTCATTCAGCAAGTATCCACTGGTCCCGGCCATGCGCCCAGCACTGTAGCTTCCTCAGCGAGCCTGGCCTGACTGTCCTGCCCACATGAAGCTCAGGTCCACTCTGTGACTTAAAAGGGGGTGGCCCACAGGCCAGCAGGCATGGGGGCACCAGGAAGCAGTCATTTTATTAAAAGAGAGTCCTGCGTTTAAAAGAAGTAACAGAGAAAAGGCATGCTTGGCACTTCATCTTGAGAAATAAAATAATTGAAAGTTACAAAGAATAAATGTATCTTCTATTTAATAAAATATAGGTCGTGATTTTTTTATCATTATTTTTTTATTTTTAAATTTTATTATTTATTTATTTTAGAGACAGGGTCTTGCTCTTGCTCAGGCTGGTCTTGAACGCCTAACCTAACCTCAAGTGATCCTCCCGCCTCAGCCTCCCAGTGCTAGGATTACAGGCATGAGCCATTGCACCCAACCTATGGTTTCAAATACATACTCATTCCTAGAACCAACAAAGGATAAATCCAGGCCAGGCATGGTGGCTCACACCTACAATCTCAGCACTTTGAGAGGCCAAGGTGGGAGGATCATTTGAGGCCAGGAGTTTGAGACCAGCCTGTGCAACATAGTAAGACTCCATCTCTACCAAAAATAAAAATAAATAAAAAGAATAAATCCAATGTGGATTGGGTATTTCTGAAACAAATCTTTCTCCACAAATCACAGCAGTTCATAAAAATCTTCTAGGGCCTCATTAATTTTCCTGAGGGCTCTTCAATCCTCTGATGCTTCAATCTTTCTCTTAGGGAACCTCTGTCCTCTCCTCTTTGTCCATTGTCCAACTACCCCAGCGTCTGCCTTGTCGGTGGCTTTCCACGGTAACTGGACAGGCTGCCTGTAGTCCTTCCTCGAGGGGTTGAACCCATCTCTTCCCACGGTTTGCATTTTCGCTTCGCACTGGGTTTGCGCCTCATGCATGTTCACGCTGTGTCTCCTGCAGTGACAGCCTTTGTCTGCACCGTACAGGTGAGGACACTCAGGTCAGGAAGGCCTACCGACCTGCCGGAGTCACACAGCAGTGTGGAACAAGAGCAGACAAGGAGGGGCCTGGGGGCACATCGTTTGTTGCAGATGATCCCAGGTGGCCCGAGTGAGGCGTGGGGAGCGGATCCTGGGGCAGGAAGGGCCAGGGAGGGGCCCTGATGAGCGGCCCTGAATGGGCACCTGGGGACAGGCTCCCTGGGAATCATGCACCACCTGAATGGCTCTGTCCTCAGGGAGGGGGGGTCGTCCCTTGGGCATTAATGCTCTTGCACTGGTAGCTGGTGCCTGCATGCAGGAGAGGAAGCTCCCAGGGTCCTGGGAGAGCCCTCAGACAGAGAAAAGGGATGTATGTATTCCAGGGGACACTGTGGCCTGCAGGGGACTGACTCCCCCACTGCAGATAGACTCAGGTGGGCCAAGGGGACATGCACAGGTCACAGCAGAATGGCCACCCGAGGCTTCCCAGATCCAAGGCCAGGGCCATTTGCCCCAGTTTGCCTGGCCACTCCTCTTTCTCAAGGCAGCTACTCCCACCTGCATAAACCTTTGCAGCTTGCAGCCTGCTCTATGCAGACACAATGCTGTGCCACCCCGATGGCGTGGTCATCCCCTGCATCCCCTCTGTTGGAAACAGAGAGGGCCAGAGTTGTCTCCAAAGTCGCTCAGCCAGAGAGTGGTGCGGCAACTTTCCCACCCAGCTAGGGCTGCCCCAGACACAGGGTCTGGAGCAAAGGCACTGGGAGCTTGGCAGGTAGGACCCCCCCACACAGCCAGGGGGTGCCCCCCTTCTGCCACCCTGGGGTCTCCACAGGCACCCCCGTGGTGAGAGGCAGGACATAGCCTGCTGGGGCCAGAACAGCTCAGCTGGGAGGGCAGCTGGTACCTGAGAAGGAACCACAGCACCAGGCCAAGCTTGGAACAGCCAACCCCAGGAGGTCACTGCCTGGCACCAGGGTGCAGGCATCTCCCACCTGCCATTAGTGATGCCAGGGCCTGCAGGACAAACCAAGATTCCTCTGCACAGGAGTTCTCTAAGGTGGGGACTCCAGGTCCCCCATGCTCTAAGTGGGAAATGGAGGTGCCCAGACCCCTCCTGGCTGTGAGTAGCAGGGCTGGGGCTTAAGCCGGGTCCCTCTGGTCCAGAGGCACGAGGTGCCGCCCACCCAGGAACACACCCTGCTGAGCAGGGAAGTGGGAGGCGGCCGGGAGGCATGAGTGTCCTGGGGCACTCTCCCCCTCCCCACACACACCAGACACAAGTGGCCAGTGTCAGCTGTCCCCTGACCTGTCCCTGGCCTTTCTCCTGGCCTGTCCCCATCTGGAACTCATGCCCCTCAGCCACTCCAGGGGTTTCTAATTTCAGGCGTGTGATCTTACGATTTATACACGTGTGTGTATTTTTGTCTGCGGTTCCTGACTCATAACT